GAGCGCCGCAGGTTTCCCCCCGTGGAGAAGGAGGCTGGGGTTCTCCCCAGGATGGGGTGGTTTATGCATCCCATCACCCCAGAAACAAGGTGAAAACCAGTTTGGCCAGACACACAGGGACTTTTAACCAGCTCCCCTGGTCAAGGGAGGGGAGAAATGTCCTTCCAGGGGCAACGTCAGCTCCACGGACTCACAGCAAGCCCCCGAAAAGGAGCCCTGAAAATCCCATTGCCCCTGCCACAGAGGCAAGGGCTGGCCATGGCATTCAGCCCTCCAGATTCAGGCGGCTGCATACGCGTGTCCCAGCCACCAAACATGCACTGAACCAGCATCAAACAGACCCCCAGCACCCCTGGATGCTCAGACTGGATCCGCCATCCCCAGCTGACACCTGGGCACACGTCAGAGCCCAGCCCAAACCCCTGGCACCTCTTCACCGCTCCCACCGCAATGAAAGGGTGAAGGGATGGATGGAGAGGAGAAATGTCACAGAATCTCAGGATGGTTTGGGTGGGAAGGGACCTTTAAGATCATCCAGTGCCACCACCTGCCATGGGCAGGGACACCTCCCACCAGCCCAGGTTGCCCAAAGCCTCATCCAGCCTGGCCTTGAACCCCTCCAGGGATGGGGCATCCACAGCTTCCCTGGGCAACCGTTCCCCCCCGTCCTGTCCCTGCACCCCAATTTCCCCCACTCACCCACAGACCCCGAGGCTGCGATGACGGCCGCCTCCGAGAGGACCTCCACGATGCCAGCGCGCACGGTGGCCGCGCTCTTGCTGTTGGCATCCAGGTGCCCCAGGAGCTGCTGGATGACGAGGTGGGAATGCTGCGGCTGGAACGAGAGCGTGAACATCAGCACGGGTGCTGCAGGTAACCCACCGGGGACAAATCCTGCACACGCGCCCAGCTGCACCGAGGTCTTTCCCAGACAGCTCCAGATGCAAAATGAGAGGAGGCACCTGGAGGAAGCTTGTTTAACATGACCGAGCAAGAGCTCGGAGCAATTTGCACGGGGAAAAAAATGATCTAAAGAGCTGTATAGATCTAAGGAAATGGTGACAATTAATCCTGAGGATTTAATGGAGAAAGGATTTTATTTTTGCCAGGGTTTCCCAAAATCATCTACACTTCAAAAGGGTCCTGCTGGGTTATTGTGACCTTACACCTCCAACGTGCATTAACAGGATTTTATAAAACCTAGCAGCACTGCAAAGGCTTTCAGGCAGTTTACAGGATTAAAACCAAGAAACGAGGGCAGCGGGTGGCCATCTGCTTTTCACTCAAAGAGTTCTTCGAGCAGAACAATGGTTTGGCAGAGCCCAAAAGGAAAACAAACTCCCAAGGGGGCAAAGGGGGGGAGGAGGTCTGGGACAGCCTCAGCAGAGCAGGAGCG